GTACTGTATAATCAATACTGTATAAAGTAATTTTAATATCATACTACTGTATAACAGTCCAACACTGTTATTTCATATCTCGTAAAACTAGCAGCTGTCTTCACTAGTTACCAAACCTAACTGCACTCATGAAGATCAAACAAAACATTTATTTTATTTTATTTTTTTTGGGGTGATTAAATATCTAAGGTAAGTAAGAACTTTTCTGAGAGCCACAAAAATACATGGTGCCAGCCACTGAAAACAAACATAAGGTACAATAAATACTAATGAAACTCTTAATACAGTAAACTAGTAATACATGTAACACCAACAGTAATGAACATATATTAAGTATTTTTTCATGGTTATATTTATTAAGGCCAAGTTTTTTATTCTGCTATGCTAGTATTGAAAGTCTTAAACCCTGAGCTTTAATTATCATCTTCAGTTGATGGGGGATATCGTGTTTACAACCAGTTAAAAAAAATGAGTCATGAAGGACATTGCACTACAGTGCTTGATAAAATCAACTTATAATATTGGAATTAGTTGAATTTACCAAACCACCCCATCAAGCACTGACTCAATTTTTTTTAAACTGGTTGTAACTCAACAACCCCCATCGATGGAAGAGGATGATTAAAACTCTGGTCATTAGGTCCTTTATGTGTGGCTGCCAGAAAAGGATGTCTTGCCCCAGGGTCAAGGGAAGGGTAAGGGAGGTCACCAGCTACCTATTTCTTACAAACCATTATTAAGTATACAGTGTATACCAGCAGATGCAGATACATACAGAATGTTCATGGATAGGCACCTGTGCCAAGAAGATATTCTTCTGTAATTGTCTCAGTGTATGTGAGTGCTTAAATACATACTCCTGTTTATGTCAGTGAATTGCGTATGTGTGTGGTTGTTTGGGTCTTAGTGCATCATTTGTACTCATGCATATAAATCTTGGCAGCCCAATATTCCTTTGTGTGTGTGTGTGTGTGTGTGTGTGCATACCACTGACTGGTGTATGAGTGCATGTATACACACATATACAGAGGAATACCAAATGCACCAAGAAATATCCAAATACTGTACACATTCATACATATGTAAAGAAGCACATACTGTACTTACACATGGACAACTACACACACAGTTTTAATTTACATTATCCAGTTTAATATATATTTTTTTTCAGTTACTACAGAAAAAAATTACGAAACCACAAAAATCTAAGGTGAACTTATGACTCATTTAATCTTCATAAAAGAGTTAACTGCTCATTTGTTCTTGGCATTTACTAAAGCACAAGACCATCTGTGGAAACAAACTATTGTACAGTACATAAACCAACAAAACCAAACTTAACCTGACAATTCTGAGGTAGATTTAGTTAGGTTAGGTTGTTAGGTTTGCTTGGTCGTCATGCTGCCATCTGTTGACATAAATAGCCTAACATCAGGGTAAATGTCAAGAAAAATCTGAAACCTTTAACATAATATGAAAATCTTAATATTGTATAATAATTGTTATACTGTACCACCAAACAATATTTACGAACAAAAATGTTTTATATATTAAGCTGGAAAAAGTTAAGTAAAACTTAACCAACTCCTTTTCAAAAGGTACAAATAGTTACTAGTACAGTATATATAATGTATATGCACTGCAGTTATACACAGTGTATGGTCGTGAACAAAAGTCCTGTCACCTCTTCTACTGTTCCACAAACCCCAATAATGTATGATATCGGGGTTTGTGGAACAGTAGAATAGGCGGCAGGACTTTTGTTCAAGATTGTACTTACTCAACAAAAGTGGACAAACATTAAATGAAGCTCTGCCACTTTATTATATTTTTCCGATTAGATTTTCCAATACGTTTTGGCCTACTAAATACAGTATAGTAGTGTTAATCGGGCTGGGGAATAAGGGAAAAGAGTGAGGAAATTATCAATGAAACAGACCATGCAAACCAATCAAGCTTATCCAAATATAGTACAAGTCACATGAAGATAAGGCACCCTAACTTAATTCGCCTGTGATGAAACATTCCAACAGAACTTGGAGGTTTGGTTAGACTGAGTTAGCATAAGATAAGATTTGGTTAAGTTAGAACTAGGGTGATCAATCTTAAGGTGAAATAAGCCGGGGTACTTAACCTTCATGTGAGCCGCTATAATTTGATTTAGTTCCAATGGTCTTTTATAAATGGTGTTCAAACTTCCACTGGAGTGAAGAATCCCACCAAATATCTAATGAAGATTAGGAATCCCAGCTTCTTTAACTTGAGTAATTATATATTAAACACCCTAATGTTAAATGGAGGATTGGGTTATGCTTCTTTTTTTTATGGGGAATAGCCCACCCGGGCACAGGTCATCGACCCACAACAGGCCCAAGGGGGCGAAAAAGTAAGAGTAAAAAGAAATTAAAAATAGAAAAGAAAAAGATCATTTTAATCTACACCACGAAGATGCCGGAAAATCAGCTTTTTGAACCAAGACATTGTATGAGTATGGAAACACAGAAGGCAGATCATTCCACAGTTTGGCTGTGTGAGGAAAGAAGGGTGTACTATAACGGGTTATACTAGTGTGACCGACATCCACAGAGAAACGGTGGGCACCTCGGGCAAGGCGAGTGTTATGAGCCCACAGCCTTGCCGGAGGTACACAGGATGCCAAGTCCACCGAACATTGCCCGTTAAAGTACCCGTGAAAGAGAGAGTGAAGCAACATTGCGGCGAAGAGAAAGGCAATATAATCAGGGGTTCGTAATCTTCATGAGACCCCTCTCCCTTCCTGCACTTAAGATTTGATTTCTTACACAACCCTGGATATTAGCAACTTACTTATTTTTTTACGTACTTCTAGCACTTGCAAGAAAGCAGAAAGGTTTGGTATCTAGCAGAATTCAGTTATGGATATACCCAAATAATTACTGTACAGTAGGTTAAAATTTTTGTCAATCATTTTTAATTGCCTAATACCCATATAGTTAAAATAAAAAGTTGTACTGTATATGTGACAAAAAAATCGTTGTGGGAGACAGATCAGCTGTCACACCGTTAATGATTATAAACTTATTTTGTATTATATCATCCAGATTGTAAGCTGTGGTAATAGCCTTACATTTAAACAGTGTTCCCCAATGCTCTGCATTATTAATTTTAAGAATCAGACTAGTTATGGACGTCAATAAGTACGGTACATCCATATCTCTGAAAATATAGCTCGCTTTACATCATCAACTTTACTTCATTAAATAATCTCTTGTGCCTTGGTTGATATATCCTTAAACTACCAGGCATAACTTTAATGTGGTGTTATGACGAAAAGCCAAGTCCTGAGACTTTCTAGTCAGATATAGAAGGACAAGCAAGTACCTACAGGGGCTAAAACATTAGCAGTGGGTGGGTGCTATCACAGAGAGTGCGGGACTAAATATCACAGTCCATATTGTTACAGCCAGCCACAAGCACTGTCATACACTGCTAAATCAAAAGAATCAATCAATATTTGTATCAAGATTGTAATGTTTTGCTTACTCTATTTTTAAATTAGATATTTATCAGTTAGTAATTTTTTTAGAGTACGTAGTTTATGAACTTTGAAACTTCCCTTAATTGTTTTATTCTCTGGACGTTTTTACAGTGCTTCTGGCATTGCTTGTTATTGTGAAGTCACATTTTATTGCACGACAACAGAGTAGAGAATTCTAAACATCGAAATATCAACATGAATAAAATTGACTTAGGCTACCTTCCCCTCTAAACAGTACTTGATGCATCAGTACACAATAATAAGATAACATGGTGATATACCACGGACATAACAAAAGTCAGCAATTTTAGAAGAAAATAGTTTTGTTTGTAATGAATGTGTATTGGCCTAAGGATTAAAAAAAAAAAAGCAAATGAGTGAAATGGTGAAGAATTTATGTTGTAGATATTCCCTACTCTGTTCTAAACCTACACATAAATTAAAGCTTTAAAAACAAGCTATTTGTAAACAGCTAGGAACTCTTCAAGTTTTCAGTGCATCTCTGCCTTATGCCTGACTGACTGATCACCAGGTTTTCCTGCGTCCAACCATCTACCAAATAAAATATACTCAATCCAGCCACACATCTCTCGCCTCAAAGTTCACTCCAAAAAGGCAAGTACAAAATTAAAATAATAATCAGAGTTCTTACAAAAATATGGCACACAATTTTATTTTGTTTTGAATGCCTTCAGACATCACAACACCCTTTAGAGGCGATGGACCTTATGACTACCAAAGTTTTGGACAATAACATGGTTCCGACAATTCCTATATCACAAAAATAACACAACTTATTGGATTTACAGCTTTCCAGACAACCTCATTTCATCTTTACCTGAGATATGGGGAACAATATGATACACCCGTGACGCAGGAATGATGGGGAACCATTACTACCTTATGGTTTGTTTTTTACTTCACGAGAACACTTACAATCACAGTCCAAAACAAAGTAGGACGGAGATCGTCTTATTTGTCGTTGTCAACTTACAGGTTACCACAAGGGGATATTTATTGTGACCATAACAGGACAGACAGTCACGCGTTGCCTCCGTAGAATATACATTCTCAGTTGTGTACAGAGGCAGTGAAGCCCTAAAACTGTATTGCATAAAGTTCAAACAACTATGGGTCAATTTTCAGAGCATCAGATAAGTTACACCGTAGAACAATATCACAGAAAAAAAACTAAATAAAATTCACAGGTCTGGTTTAAAAAGAACCACTTTAGAGAAGTACTTATACTAAAAAAAAGTAGCTTATGAGAAAATCTATCAATACTGTACCTTTAAGTTGAACATCAATAAATTAGACAGTAAAAAAGATAGGCTGTAGCCAGTTCTGATTATGGATAATAATAATATAATACATCGAATATATCTGATGCTCTAAACCCGGGCAGTTTCACATCTCCAGAAGTAGTCTTATTATTTATTAACTGAGCGGTATAGAGGACAACGGGGGGGGGGCTGTCACTAGGCTACAGTTTGAGGACCAGCTCTGACAGGATCTGAGTGTAATTGTGTTCGACGTTGAGTGATGGGAGGGAGATGGTGCGGTCACCATCACGAAGGTTGATCATCTCCAATACCTGTAAGGGAGGATATTTTTAATACTTAAGTGACAGTAGCTAAGTGCACTTTGATTGCATAAATTTCAACATTATAGGTTCAGTAGCTAAAACAACTATCTGTGCATACTTTGTGGAAAACAATATGAGACCATGGCTGATAAATATTGGAATATGAGGGCTGTCCAGCGTTCCCGCTTCTGGGGAGTTTGTTCCCAGATTGGGAAATCTGGACACATCTGGGGACAAATCTAGGGAAATGGGCTTTTGGGGGAATTTTGAATATTTTGGGGAATAATTAGGGAATTTGAGTGTGTTTGGTTTATATAATACCAATACCAGTTCTCCGAGTCAACATCTTTCCTGAAAACATGAAGAGAGAAAGTATTGTGGGGCTACTACATGGAAAGGAAGGATTGGCATCACTTGGGACACCTGCTGATCAACTGAATTTGTACGATCATCCAAAACTGCTGAAGCTTGTGCGAAATGTCAAGAGCAATGCTTCCGATTCAGAAGCTCATCAAATCATTGTTGATATACTCAAGTCATAACTTATAAAATATCATAAACTCTAAATAAAGTGTTGGAATCAAAATTACCTTTTTTTTTTAAATTAAGTAGTTAATTTGGTATACATTTATGTTTTGATGGATTCTATACCTTAGATTAAGTACCGGTAAATACTCGAAACGTTAGTGGAGTGTTTACTCTTCTCAGAAAAACCAAAACAATAATTTTATTTTGTTTCTGCCACAAATATATTAACCAAATATTAAATAATAATGATAAAACAATATAACCACAAAAATAGTAAAACCTACAGTAAAACTTTCATTTTAAACCGATATATATATATATATATATATATATATATATATATATATATATACCTCAACCCGCCAGGATTCGAACCCACAGCCCACGAGCCGATGACTGTGACCGGGGAACACTACCTCTGGACCACCAGCATACTAAAAGCAGTCCTAAACTCTGTTATATTTCACACAAAGCCTGTTCAACGAGCTTATGGCGCCGTGAACCTCTAATGGGGACTACCCATATCACGTAGGCGGGTTGAGGTGTTGATTGTATGTAGAAGTCTGCGTGCTTTATTGGGCTAATGAAATATATATGGATCCTCGTGTTTCGAAGCCGGATTTGGTAAAACGTTACTCCTGACCACCTACGTGATACAGGTAGTCCCATTAAGGATTAAAGCGCCATAAACCAGTTGAACAGGCTTTGTGTGAAATATAGCAAGTCTAGGACTGCTCTTAGTATCATGGTGGTCAGAGAATAGTGTTCCCCGGTCACAGTCATCGGCTCGTGGGCAATGAGGTTTCGAATACTGGCGGGTTGAGGTGTTGATTGTGTCATGTAGAGATGTAGCACATTGGACTAATGAAATATATATATATATTATATATATTATATATATATTATATATATTATATTTATATATATATATAATATATATATATATATATATATATATATATATATATATATATATATATATATATATATATATATCAGTTTAAATGAAAAATTCCCAAATCCATTTTCCACACACACACACACGTATATATATATATATATATATATATATATATATATATATATATATATATATATATATATATATATATATATATATATATATATGCTGATAACCACAAGGAAAGAAAAGAAACACCTGACCATTGTGGACCTGGTCTCACCCTCCTCTGTATATATACACCTTGGTTTGTATTTCTCTTTAGTCTGTACTCACCCCCGAAGATGTGAATTACACGAAAGCGCTTGGGAACTTCGTGTTTTCTTCTTTCCTTGTGGTTATCAGCATATACCTAGATCACGCGCACCTACAGTGATTTACTTGCATACATATATATGTATATGTATATATATATATATATATATATATATATATATATATTATATATATATATATATATATATATATATAGTATATATGTCTATTATTATTATTGGAAAATATATTTGGGAATTTTGATCAATCTAGGGGAATTTTCAACCTTAGTCTGAGAATTCTTCATCTGAATTTGTGGGAACACTGGGGCTGTCACTAGTCACGTAAAATTTCGGAGCATATCAACCCCACCTGCACAGAGTGTTGTTTTAGCTACTGGCATCCCCTTCTCTACATATGCATTAAATTACGGTATTTCTCTTCCAGTCTACAATAGCCTCGTCGGCATTGGTATAAGAATCGGCAATACCAACGACAGACTTTTTAATGCTGACAAGTTCAGCCATGTTTTGTATTCATTTACCTTCCAGAAGTCACACACTCCCTGCAAAACCTTTTATCACAGTAATTGCATGCCAGTAAATCCTTTGGGATCATGACGATACCCAGAACCACTGCTGTAACGCTGTCGACACACATGGGTTGATGTTATAATGCATTACTGCACGTCAACAGCTAAGGTCTAAGAGTGCGTACACTAAATCAGTAATTACACTAGTCATCAACATTAAATTAAGAAATGCATGTATACTATAGGTTTAAATCTGTACACTGTCACTCGAGGGCAATAGTGACATGCTTGTGGTGGGGGGTCTTATTGGGTTCTGTGGTGGGGGATTTTTCCTCTTAATCACAACTCACAGAAAATTACTAGTGGCTATAGTATTTCCACGCTAACCTGGTTCCCCAAGGCGTTCTACCCTCCCGGACTGCGCATATAAGCGCGTGATTATATCGACTTTTTATAATAAAATATTTAGGAAATTTTATAACACCCTTTCTGAAGTGCTAATGCCTTGAAATGATTTGGATTTGGATAGTCCAGATATTTAACATTATTTTAGATAATATCAGTTCTGCTTACCAATTGTGAACACATTTACACATTTAGTTTGAATTTTCTATGAACCAATCAGCTATTAGCATAGAAGAGGGGCGTGGCTTACGGGCCAGGTGACGTGGAGAGAGTATAGCTTATTAGCGTTACTGGAAATATTGCTTATAGCTAAACTTATCACAGTCCCAAAATCTATTATAACAACTAAAATGTCACCACCGCACTTGTCCCAGAAATGTACTTTCAGCTGAGTGTGTTCATTACCTGCGATTGACGGATACCAAGGGGGGTGGAGGAGCCGGAGGAGACGGGGGTCTTATCCGCTTGAGAAGAGGCAAGATGGATTCCGTAAAGGTGCTCACTAGACAGGGGTCATCGTCCCTCAACACACGTGGCAACACTGTCGATGGCGGCTTCTTCGGCCTTTGACAACAACAAAGGAGTCATATTATAACCAAGAAATAGAATTTATAATTTATAGGGAAAGTGGAGAATTAATTACCAATGAGGAGCGTAGGATTAATTACAAATAGATAAAATATATGATTAATCATGTACAGGAGTGTGAGAAATTGTCCAGCATGCCACACAAGTCAGCGAAAATATCTGATAGTATTACTTATGCGGGAGTAAAAAAGACATCTTGGAGTTATAATTTCTACAGTGATTTCTTATTTAATGGATGCCATTCCCTGAACAGACTAGACTGACCTACGTAGAGGTGGAGATTATTAATGACGAGAGAGAGAATTAGCGAGAAGAAATGAGGGACATGTTCTTTTTTGGTTTAGTTAAAGTAGGTTAGGTTAGATTAGGTTAAGGTAGGTTAGGTTAGATTAGGTTAAGGTAGGTTAGGTTAGTTACCTTAGCTGATAATATGTTAGGTTAGGTTAGGCTAACCAAATATGAACAAATTTTGGAGGACTGCATAGAGATTACCAAAAAAATATACAGTAACAATGGACGATAAAAAAAAATACTACAGTACAGCATTGTTAACGAAGCCACGGATATGAATTACTGAATCTAAAGCGATAAAAAAAATCTTGTGGAAGAGGCCTATGGTAAGTCATCACGTTTCCCACGACTTTTTAAGAGTGACAGGCAAAAGATGAGCTATCGTAGCAAAATAAACTGCTTTCAAATTAATCAGTACTTTTATTTCTAATTATCTTTGCTGAAACATAAACTGTTATCTTAGCTGAAACATATACTGTATACATATTTCTTATACATTCGTTCCCTAAGATTAACTGCACTTGTAAAAGCCGAAGATAATTCAAAATAATATAAATATTGATAACATCTTTAAAAATAGGGAATGTTTGTTCATCAGTTTTGGTTGTGTTTAAGGAATATAAGGTTATTTTGGTGGATGAAATGTCACAATTCATCTATACTGTCTGCCTTATCACCAGTCATTCTTTAAGCTACCCTGAGTATTAGATTTTCAGTATGAATCCTTTCTATACAAGTATTGCCTGGTTGAAGTACATGACTCATTTAGCTTTAAGGAGTTCCTGCCTTCCCCCTGAGTGTGGAGGCAAACCACCATAAATTGGTAAGCACTTTCTGGGAATCTTGTCTGTATTTAATATATGAAGCAAAATAATTAGTCCATCAGTCACCTCAGGTTGTACTGCAGCTTATAATATATAAATACAAACTATTTTTATCACTGTACCAATTGTTAATTATAGAAAGTTTATTCAGTTTATGAAGACCTGTCCCAATACTGCAAATACCATTTAAAAAATCTTCATTATCATTATCTAATATGCAGTTATAACAAACAATTGGTTAAGAGTAATTAACTAGATATGGAAATAGTGTAGTGGACGTCTCCCCTACAACTGCCTAACTGCGTAGCCACGCATACCACCTGTTACCGTCTTCCCTAGCAACCAAGTGTATCCGCATTCCAATGCCCGCCGTATCTTAGCAACGGAACTAGTCACCGGCACACTTCTCGGGTTTTCCCACCATGACTCATAGCCGCTGCTGTGGGTGTATATAAGCTCTGTCTCTCCTTGAGATTCAGTCTGACCAATCTTCTTGAACAAGCCTTTTGCCTCCTCCTCTGCGGCTGCCTGGCGACCCTCGCCTCTTCTCCTCCTGCCTGGCGGTCCTGCGCTCCGCCAGCGAGCATGTCCTTCTCTGAGCTTCCTCACCAGCCAACTCTCATTCTGCCTTTTCCTGAACAAGCAACATCTCCTCCAGCAAGCTCCAGCTGTTAACATTTCATTCAACCAGGAGGCCAGCAACAGGCAACATCTTCTCTAACGAAGCTCCTGCACATCTACCTCCTTCAACAAGCTACTCACCGGAACGTCTCTATTGAGCAGCTCCTCACCACACAGCACCTCAGCACCAGACTGTCCATCCTTACCAACACATATATTATACAAAGAAAACCACATTAGGTTTTCCTTCCATCCACGAATTGCTAGACAACATTGATATCTCGATACCCCTACAATAGCATACAATAGAAGTCTGATAATTTGTGACTAACTTTTGCACGTTCTTGTCTTTTCTACTCAATGATTAATTTTTACATCACAACCATAACTGTTTCGCTCATTCAAGATATTTAGTGAGTTCCGAGTTATAGAAATACTAACAAAACCTTCATCAGTTAATAGCCGGGGTCGATACTGTACTGTATGTATACCATAAACTCTCTCACACAATGCAGATAAACAAACCAATCGTGTAGCTGAAGCAGGGTTAAGACTAATCAGCTTCTATATTTCCACATAATAGGGAAAAATTAAAAATACAGGGAAAACAATTGGAAGAGGCATTATCTACAATAATGTACTGTATCTGTACTTCAAACCTAGTCACTCACCTCTCACACGGTACAATAGATCATTGAAATATTACACAACAAAAAATATCCAACAATGATGCAGCGTCAACAACATACTGATACGACCCCCTTCTTTGCCGCTCCCAGATTTCACCGCTGGTTACCAGTGGCCAGGTAGTATAAACAGAACCGGTAGATATATCACAAGTGTCGTTGAATTACCATTAGCTGTCCCGCCAGTCTCCGATATAATTTTCCGACGATCGGTATCACTGTACAGACAAAACAACAGGCAGGTAGATTTCCACAAGGTCACAGAAACACACATGTGAACTGTAGCCCTCTTTAATAATCACTTTATACCACAAAACTGTTCACAGGGTATGTCTTCATAACTGGACTTCTCACTTCGAATATATGCAGTCAGTGCACCTTAGTCTTTTAACTTTATATCGCTCACAAAAATTCCACACTACTTGAACACCAATTATCTTTAGCTGTCACTAGGCTTGTACTTCACACTCTGTGCAGAAACGATCAGTCATTGGGTGTTTACATGCGTTTCTTCAGACGCCTAGAGCATTCTAATACATCTAGGCACTGCCCGTCGGATAGACTGGAGGTGTTTTTTGTAGATGCACGGAATAGCTAACGCGTTAGCTATTCCGTGCATCTAACACCATAGATATGACCGGAGAGCTCTAGAATGATTTGAACTTACAATAAATCACAACAAAAATGATGCAATACATTCTAGAAAATTCTTACACAGGTAATACATCAATATATATATACAAGAAAATCTCTAAACATACCAAAATAACTGCTGCTTTTAAGAGAAAATAATCAAAACGCCTAATTCACAAAAAAATATAATACTAAACTATGCCTCGGCATGACAATACATTACCTGTTATAAAAGGCTGTACTGTACAAGACGCAGCAAAGCATGAAGTAGACATCAAATGAGCAAAATTTCTCATGAAGGGCATTTAAGAAATACCGGTAATTATAGGAATACATATGTTTTGATAAGTGGTTTTCCTCTTCTTTAAATCACTCTAGATATTTCTAAATAATTCATGTATAATTCTATGATGTGTAATAAAAAAAGGAGTTTAAGAAAAAACGAAAATTTTGGAAAAGGTTGACTGCTTGAACCAAAGATCCCGGAGGGTTTGCCCGTCACAATACGCGCACTCAGTTTCTCTCTCCCTGTCAACTTTCTCTTGATAAATGTCTCATTCGGTCGCTCACACTCATTTCTCTCACTCTCTCAGCCATCTTTTCGTCTTGATTAATCTGTGTGTGTATAATATTTGTAAGTCTTTTTTGTCTTGTGCGTTTATTCCTTTATGTTTCCGCTCTTTATCTTCTACCAAGTTTTCCTCCCTACCGCTAACAGTCCATCACTCCCTCACTCCTCCTCACTCTCCTTCTGTGTTCCCCCTCTCCATCTGCATTTCCCCCTCCCCTTCCCTCTGTTCCTCCCTCCCCTTCCCCTTGTTTCTTCCCTCCACCTCTTTCACTGTATGTGCCTTTCCCTCCCTTACCTTCCCTCTGTGTTCCGACTTCATCCGCCCTTTGTCAGACTCATTCCCTCCCTCCCTCCCCTCCCCTTCCTCCTGTTGCTCCCTCTATTAATTCCCTTCTATCTGCTTCCCTCCCCTCTTCTTCTTTTCTCTGCTCATCCCCCTCCACCCTTTTTACTCTATCATCTTTCCCTCACTTCCCTCTGTTTCCTCCCCCCTCCCTTTCCATCTATTTTTGCCTTTGTCTCCCTCATCACGACATTCTGTAAGTGTATTCATAAATTCTACGGTACCCGATATCCACGTTTCAGTTACCTGTCGCTCAACTTACATCATCATTATTCTATGAACTGGTCACCAATCCTAACTTATTATCATTCACCACCTGGCTATCAATCGTTATATCGCCATTAGTCATCAACTACTCATTATTCATTAACTAATCATCAATTAATAGCTCATCAATCATTAACTATAGTCTTCAATCATCAACGCTTCATCAATCCTCAACTGGTAAAGATCACTCGGAAGCGGCTGAGGCGTCCAACATGCACAAACCTCTTCCATCTTACTCTGTCGATCGATATAACTGGAATATATAGATGCTATAATGAACAGGTGTTCTTAATGGTGTCTATAAGGCTCACTCAACCCTCTTTTGTTCCTTTGGCAGATTCGTTTCTCTTTGTTTTGGTAGATTCGATATTCATTTGTTTTATGTAGACTCGATCTACTTTTGTTTTTGATAATTACTCGATCCTTTTTTTCCGTGGAAGAGTAAGTACCAATGACTACTGTACGAGGCGGAGACACACGTATATAAACTGACATACAGACAGAGCAGAGAGAGAGAGAGAGAGAGAGGAGGGAGGAGAAACGGGAGAATAGAAAAACTTCCATACCAAACATATATTTCAGCAACAAGGGGGTTAGATAGACTTCAATCAAACACAGAAATACAAGACGTATTTTAAGTCCTTGACACATGTTCGTATTTTCTGCCTTGATGTTTTCACTGAAATAAGCAAATGTATCACACACACACACACACACACACACACACACGTTTGTCAGTC